ACAAGCCTGAGGTCCAAACGCCCTGGATCTTTCCAGCCTCCTGGGCCTTTGCGATTGCCTGAAGCACTGGATCCGGCACTTTGCACGTGCTCCAGGATTTCCATGTGCACACAAACCTTTCATATCTGAGCACCCAGCGTCCTTGTCGGCCTCCTTGCTAATAATGGTGGGGGCTTCGGCACCGGCCTGCCAGCTTCCGCTTCCCGGAGACCAGAGTATAGGTACCGAATCCCGCCTCGTCCAGCGCTTCCTTCGCTGTCGCCGCATCCTTCTCTTCCGCTGCCTTCGCGGCTGCTGCTGCCCTCGGCTGTTTCGAGGTCGTGGGGTGCGCGAAGGACGCGGAGCCGGGCCGTACTTCACCACACGACTAAAGGGACACCGCTGCTCCAGGCTCCGGCTCACCAGCTGCTGTAACAGCCGAGACACGCCTCCTTTTGTTTCTTGGCCTCTGCCTTCTTCAGGTCCTGATCTGCCTTGAACTTCGAAAAGGCCTTCAGACGACACCGACGAAGATCTACGGGGGTAACGGATGGTAACGGGGTCATGGTCGAGAGCAGCTGGAGACCTCCAGGTCGATGGCAGACTTGTCGTTCTGCCAGTACAGGTTCTTGTGGATGAAGAGGTATCCAACAGACGAGTCATCCTGATGGGTAACACCACGGCACTGGGGCTGACTGCTCTATGGTGGATACACAGCGGCCGGTCCTTGCACTTGGACAAGGTCTCCGTTGCACCGAGCTTCTTCATGCCCTCGAACTCCAGCACTTTCTCAGTTCCGACTTGGATGGGCCCGATTTTGATCGGCTTGTGGACAATGACGTCGTCCAGCGTTCCCATGTTAGCCGTGTTCATTCCTGCCAGGCAGCTCGCCATGTCTCCCTCGCCGATCCAAGCCAATGATCCAAGGTTCTGCTGCAAGATCTGCATGACCACTCCGTAGAGTGCGATCATGCCTTGCGTCATGCCGACCACGTTTTCCTTGCAAGTCGTTGCCGGCACGCAGTTGGCAGCATATTCGTGGTCAGAGTGGGCTGCGTTCCCGAAGACACTGAAGTAGTTGCAGCCTGCCGTGGCGTTGCT